GCCAGAAAGCGTATGATTCCATAGGATGTCATCCGCAGTGAGCTCATCAAGATGGACCTGGTCGACAAGTATCCAAAGGGTGAAGAACTATTTAATATGCTAAATGGAAACAACAGTGGGAGGAGGTTTGATCTTGAGGATTCAAGCGTTATTCTTGAGGGCCTCCCGCACCTTCCAATTCTTCCGTGCAGAGGCCTCATATATGAGTGGAGGTGTCCTTGGGCTTACGGCCAAGAAGTCAAGGAGAGTCCCAGAACGGCGTCCTTGCGCCGTTTTCAACGATGGTGGTGGTAGAGGCATAGAAAAAGCTGAGCTCTTCCTCGTTACACGGGTTCCCATGCCCAACCCACAACTTACTGGATGCCTTCCATTCAAACCAAGGCCAACACAAATGCAAAGCACGCGCAAACTAGTTTTTTAGTTTCCCTATGTACCAACTGGAAATACAAGGTTCAAAAATAAAATTAGAAATACATCATGTGATCCGTTGGCTAATTGTCCTTGTCAATTTTGGGGTATGAAATTAATGTTATCTATATTTGGACACATGTTAATGCATTTAATGTGATTAATTTGGCGCCATACTTTTAATGGCATTCCTAAATTAACATATTGGATAGGTATCAACCCAGTATAAAAAGGCTTGACATTTCATATCTTCTCCATCTCATCCTACAACCGGGACAACTATCAGCAGCATCTTGTGTCTACTAAGCCAAGATGAGGGTAACACTTATGCTACTCCTGACCCTCACGTTTCTCGTGCTACCATCAGGTACAGTATATTCTTATAGTACCTTGCTTAACGATTTTTCTCCATCAAATTTTGCCAATAACAATGGGTTTTTTTTCCCTCTTCCTGCCGATTGGTATATTTCAGATGCTGAAACAACTTGTACTTCCAGGGATTGGCCCCCGGGGGGTACAGCGTGTGATAGAAGCGAGTGTGAGGACAAATGTAAAAACTATTATGATGACTATTACAAGCATTCTACTTGTGTAGGTCTCTGTAGTTGGACTTCCATCTGTACAGACAATGGGTGCCATTGCTCAATTTGTGATGATCACAGCCATCCATTCGGGCACTGAATAAACTGATCCTAACTATGTATGCTGAAATGGTTTCCTCATTGAAATAAGAGAGATATTAATTGCAATGGTTTAGCACACGCTTATAAACATCCCACAATATGTGTTGAATTCTTGCATGCGTAGACTACAGAAATTGACATTCCAATGTGTACTTGAACGGAGTCTCAAGAACACCTTTGCCTTCCTGCCGTGTCTCAAGGGCACCTTTTTTCGGAACTGCGTCCTTGGATATGAGAGGAAGGAAGGAAGGAAGGAAAAACTAGTTGTCATCGATGGATGGATCGCTCCCTCGCAGGTGCTCCTTTGTTTTTGGTTTGTCCGAAAAATTAAGTCCAATCGAATCGAAATGATGATGCCTAGCTTGACCTCGATGATGCTCCTTTTCCTCATTTTCTCAAGCATATAAACAGATATGAAAAAGATTTATTTTGATGAAACCGAGACACAAGAAAAAAAATGTGTACAATTATCGATCTGTAAATGGTCTCAGCCCAGAAAGATTTGTTTTGATGAAATCGACATGATGCTGCTGAATGGCGCCTTGACTCACGGGTATTTAATCACCATGCTGCTGCATTAATGATTTGTCTTCACAAACCAAGTAGTTCCGGTAACGATTGGGGACGATTACTTGTATTTTCAGTTTAACCCTGATGATCTGTCAGTTAGCATGAAAATTTCATAGCTAGCTGCATTTTAGCCACAACGATTTTCAGAGGTGCCCCTAGTCGTCTGAACGTATGCCTATGGATCTACGGACTCTAATTTGATTATTTTCACTATTTCTGAATTTTCGTATTCAACCTTTGAGAGTGGCAAGCATGGACTCTACGGTCTACAACACCACGTGATTGATTCCTCTCTCGCTCTCCCTTTGTTCACTTCATAGCATGGCTTGGCTTAATCTATATCTATACCTACTAATAAAGCGATTAGTGCTTCTGCCCGTCCGTCACTTAAGTTTACAAAAAAACCTGGCTTTTTCTATGAATTAACCCGCAACACACATTTAAGTTATGGACGAACCGATTTTTGCTTTTTTTTAGAAACCAACCTATCGTTTTAGGTAGTTAACCCGCGGTACATATTTAAGTGAAGAGAATCGTTTTTTTTAATTTTAACAGAAAACCCCCTGGTTTGTAGGCTAATCCATCTGCAGTTCATCTAAAACAAATGTTTTTCTATATTATCCATATCTTTTCAACCGTAACTCTGATTTTAACATGTTATATATATGAAATTTGATTAAAAAATATGTAGAATCAGAATATGATGTCATTTTACCTTTTAAATACTTTGAAAATTTGGTGCAAACTTAATCCACAGTCTGTTTTTTTTTGTACCGGCGGCGATTCGGATTGCAACTAAACACCTCAATAAGATCAAATTGATACAAAACAAAACATCAATAACCATGCATGCACACCCTTGAGAAACCTCGCGGAGAGAAACAACAGATTTGTCATCTTATTCCGAGCGAGAACGCGTGCGCGCGCGCGCGCGTGTGTGTGTGTGTGTGTGAGAGAGAGAGAGAGAGAGAGAGAGAGAGAGAGACCTTAGGATTGACCACATTCAAACACATTCCGATCGTGTGAGCGCTAAGGCCAGCGCTACGAGGATGCACAGGAGGATAAGCGGCAACACAAATGTGATTTCGTGATAAAATAAAGGGTGTGGACCTATTGAGGTATTAAGTCATGCTTATTAGGTTAATCCCGTGTGTTATTTTTTTCTCCCCTTGCAACGCACGGGCTCATTTATTTTAGGATGGATTTCAAAACAATGTTTTTTGAAATAGCCTAGATCATGGATAAAAAAAAGATGCTACTTGCATTGAAAAATGATTTTCTGATGAGTTGAATGAAAATACGTTAGCATCTCCTTATCAAGGAATAAAATCAATCTACCTAGAAACAATGCATTGAGAAACAATAAAATAATGGCATAAAAAAATCGAGCAGCTATGCGAATTCAATGCGCAAAAAAACCAAATACAAAAGTGACATAACAGGATTGACTTGATTCCACCAGGGCAACAAATTAATCACATATGAGCAGCACTACAGAAAGTGTATCAGCGGGAAACTAATTAAGGCAATATATTATCGCTCACATAAATCCTAGCAAAAAAAAAACACTGAGATCACATAAAAGGGTCTGGAGGAGCTGGGGTGGTGTTATGAGATGATAAGGGTGCCATTATATTATCGTCTTGCAGGCAATTATTTTCTTGTCGAGATGCTCTTAAAGCTGAGCTATGTGCGTGTATGAAAGGTTTGTCCTTCGCAATACAGAGAAGTGAGCTACCTATGGAGATGGATTCAGTTGTGGTAGTCAAGTTGATCCAGGCTTCGGTGATGGAAAGATATATCGGTCTACACGTCGGTCATTAAGGAGATTAAGTATCTTATGTCCCTTAGTGAAACTTGTATTACTCATGTAAATCGTAGCCAAAATAAAGTTAGTGATAGCCAAGCAAAATTTGCTCGTGTTGAAGGCAGAACCATGAATTGGTTAGGGTTTGGTCCTTCGGAAGTTTTAGAGCTAGCTGCGATTGACTGTATGAACCTTGGTGACGAGTAATACAATATTTTCACCCACAAAAATATTGTATTACTGCGATCCTCTCCACTTGCAGCCTCCCAGATCCTCTCCAGTGTCGGCCACACCACAGCACACCATGTTGAAGTCATGGTTCTCTGTGTTGTTGTTAGTTCTAATGGCCTGCGCGCTGCATGTTTAACACTAGCGCTGATCAGCTCCGGTGGTTGGGTACCTGTCACTACTAGCGAGGAATTGTGAGTTTGAATCCTGGCTGAAGCAGCTCTTTTTTACCTTGTTTTTTACACCAAGGGTTGCTCCTACGTGGGCCAGCCCAGGCGAAGATTTCCCGGTGCGAATCCCCGCCAGTCTGCCGCAAAATGCAGCAGATAGGAGCCCTCCCTAGCCAGCGCACGACCGACGGCAAGTACCAACCGGCCGTGCAAGGGCTAGCCCGCGTCGCCCATCGGCAACCAATTCCTTTGGGCCACCGGTGCCCTGCCAGGGTCCAGCACGCCTTCTCACCAAACATATGCTGGTCCCTACCAACCGATCGGATCGATCTACGGTGCCACCGCCGTACGCATCTCGAGAGGACGGATTAAATTTATTGCTTCTATTACATTGATCTACCGCCGTCGTTGCTTTGCGTACATAATCTCATCCCGGAGCAACCACCATCACGGCGAAGCTTATTGCTTCACGCGATTAGCTTCCATGAATGAGCTGGTTGGCTCCCGCAGATTCAACCCTACAATAATACATACTCTAGATCAATTTGCACAACCTCTTATCAACCTAGCTCATGATATCACTTGTTAGAATAATTTGAGGCCATTGTCAATCCGTCGAGGACAAGCAATCACAACAATGGCACCAATATATGTTAATGGGATTGATTAACATGAATGCATCCTCACCGGGACCACTAATTAATCTCATATATGAGCACCAGTCAAAAAGTGTACAAGGAAAAACTAAATAATACATCATATTGATTGTCTAGGGTGGATTTCAAAACGATTATTTCTTAAATAGTTAACATCATGGATAAAAAGAAGAGGTTCAACTTGCATTGAAAAAAGTTTTTTTTTAATGAATCGAACGAGAACACATGAGCGCCTCCTTATCAAGGAATAAAATCAGGCTACCTACAAACGGTGGGTAGACAGACAAATGAAAAAGGGAATAACAGATCGAGCTATGTAGAAAAGATGCACAGAGAAACAACTAAAATAGTGGCATAACAGATACACAAAGTGTACCATGAAAAACTAAATAAGACATCATAGTGTCGCTCACATTGATCCTCGCTGAAAAATATTTAGATTATCTAAAAACGAAATACTTGAACCACATGGCGCCTATTAGTTGCTTCCAGGTAAGTCCATCATCCAACATGGTGTATACGCAAAAGAAATCTCTTCCGTTGAATAGTGACAGCGGGGCCTCATCTCACCCAGGTATCTTACCCTTGAGTTGCTTAAATGATAGGCTACCGTTGAACAAGAGCACACCCCTCTTTCATTAAACAAGACAATTTCTTTATAGGGATGGAAACCGATACAGTCAGGACCTTCAATGGAAGTGTCACACTTTTTAGGCCAATCTGTAATGCTAACAAGATCTTCGTCATCAGAGTCCCAATCAAAACCATCTCTCGCTAGTGTTTCGTTGTATTCATCTATTATGAGCTTAGGGTTGACATCGCTCTTCAACAACAACCGTATCTGCTCAGGCGACTGTGGGATCCATGGTCCAGGGTGCCAATCTTGTTTGCTAAATGCTGGCTGAAGGTTGATTTCATTCTTGAAAACCCAGTTTGCCACACCAGACGATTCATGAAGAAACCAAACTCGAAACGTGCATCGCACATTGGTATTCACTACACAATAGACCCCTTTCTTCGATTTGCCTAGACGAAAATGTGATCCTACTCCTCCTTTTGGCAACTTGATTACCTGGTACTTATGACTCGACAAGTTTATTCTGTAAAAAGATAATCAAGATTAATTGCCAAAATTATTCCTTTTTACAGAAATAATAGTACTAAGAAGAATAAATCAAAGTGCCTTAGTGTGAGTAATACCTCAAAAGAATTACTCAAATTATATTGACAAAAATAAAACTAGAGTAACAATTGTGGAGTTTGTGAGTGTGAGAGTACATACATACCTGAAGAGGAAATCATCTTTTACGTGTGGTGAAGGAACGTAGAGTGATCCTTGCCAATAAGCGGCGTAGTACATATGCTCATCACGGTCGCGGCGACAGGAGTTTACATCGTCGACGGTTCCAGCAACGGCAGCAGCCTCACCTTCTCGAACAAATGGCGTCTCGTTCCAACGGTCTGTCGTTGACGAGAAGACATGCATGACATACGGCGTAGGCGGCCACTCGGCGGTCATGTCAGGTGGTGGAACACGAGGGATGTAGAACACCTGGTAGTGCGGTGAGACGGTGGGGTCATAGACGAGGTAGCGGTTGTTGTGGCAGCGCCCGCACATGGCCGGCCATGAGCACGCGCACGGCAGTAGGGGCAGCGGCGCCCATTGCCGCGTGGCCGGATTGACCACCTTGGCCCTGCGTTGCCGGCTCTTGCTGCGGACCAGGAAAAGGCCGTTGCAATGATCCTGTACGCCGGGAACGTCTAACCGGCTTTCCGCGAGGTATTCAAGCTCGCCGGGGATGTGGCGCGCGGCGGAGCGGCGCCCAAAGAGCCTCGGTGGATAGATGTTGAGTTCGTCGTAGACGGCGGCGTCAACGGATAGGGGGAGAAGGTCGGCACGCAGGAGGCGGTGGTGGTCGATGGCGGCGCGCCAGGCCTTGCAGGCGCAGCGGGAGACGGCGAGGCTGCGCGGGGGCAGCCGGCGGAGTATGTCCAGCAGGAGGTCGGTGTGCATCATATCCATACCCCACTGTTACGTCCGATCGAGAGGATACGGACGAGGCCTAGCTAGTTCCGATCTTGTTTTCGCGAGGGAAATTAAAGGATCAATGATGGATTAGTTATACTCCCTCCGTTCCAAAATAGATGACCCAACTTTGTACTAACTTTAGTATAAAGTTGAGTCATCTATTTTGGAACGGAGGGAGTAGCTAGGTCCTGCGTGCGTGTTGGTAGAGGAAGGCATGAGAACTTTGCTATGACCCGGCGACCTTGATGCCCCGTTTAAATCGATGCGTGCTTTAGTTAGGCACGTACCCGATCGAACACATCCTCGAGCGATCCATCGCCACCTAGATATGACAATCACATGCGTGGGCGGCGCAGATATATGCACGAGTAAAATGCACTGGCGGTACTTGAACTTGCGAAGAAAGCACGTTTTGATCACTGTACTTCAAAATACGGCCAATACGGTCACTCAATACGTCTACGCGTGATTCTACGGTCATTGTTCACTGTACGCCACTCGTCGCCTCTCCATTTGACCACTTGTTGACCAATCCGAGGCGACAGCTGGCGCTCGCGGGGGGTTCCGCAACATTTTTACAAGGAAACCCTTGGCTGGCTCCGTAATTCCTCCGCACCCTTGTCTATTCGGTTTCGATCACAACGAAAGGGGAGGCAGTGAAAGGGGAGGAGGGAAGGGCGATCGGCGGCGGCACGGCACCACCACCACCGGAGTCGTCGCACAAGGGGGAGAGGCGCCGCGCATCTCATTGCTGGAGCTGTTTCGTCGGGATGTCGCCTGTTCGTCAACCCGATGGTGCTCCGCCGCCCACCTACAGTAAGCCCTCAACTCGCCCCGCCATGGTTCTTGCGCTGTAAGCTGTAGGGTAGAAATTTAGAGGTGGGCATTGTGGATGGTTTGCTTGTTAGTCAGATATGCCCATCTGTACTTTGAAGATTTGCCTAGGGTTTTCGACCGTGATGTGGGGGTTTCAGCGTATAGGGTTTTGGGTTTGGAGAAGGTGGTTGTTTGTAGGTTATTTGGTGATGAAAGGTGCTATCTTTTGCTGCATGTTGAAGATGCTAGTTGTGTAGGTGAATTTGATACTCAAAGGTGGTTGCTTGCATCTATTTCTTGCAGATTATGTAGAACAGAAATTCTGAAACTCTGTTCTGCTCTGTTTTGGTGTATGCAGATACAACAGGAAGTTTTCAGTTAAGTTTAACCATGGTGGTTATTTCCTTAGGCAAGGTAGCAATCGTTCCTATGTGAATGGTCATGAACTGTGGTATGATGAAGTAGATGCAGATACTTGGTCTTCAATCATGGTTGAAAACCTAGTTGAAGAGACATGATGGGAGATGGCAGGCAGGATGAAGGTATATTACTGCATTCCCATTCTGTCAATCAACAGGAATGGGTTGAGAGAAATCAGAGGAGATAGGGACATAGATCAGATGCTAACATTTGTGTCACTAGGGCATTACTCATTTAGTTTGTACCTTGACCATGATAACAGTTTGAATGCAAACTTGACAGAGGATGATATGGTCAATTTCCCAATAAGGCAGCTACCTGAAGTGCTTAGTCCTTGCAAGAGTAAACCAAATGAGCCACAAATTGCAGATATTGATGTTCAGCCTGAAGATGCAAATGTGCCTCACACAATTCCTATACATGTAGTTTATCCTCCAGAGCATGCAGAAGATGATGGTGTAAGCAACTTTGTGTTTGCAAAAAGGAAAGCATCTTATGTGAGTGAAGATGTAAGTGTGGAGGAGCCAGGTGCGATTCAGCCTACACCAAATGGTGGTGATGATGATGTTGAAGCTGAAGGTGAAGGTGGTAGAGGAAGATACTACAAAAGGAAAAACAGACAATGCAACTCATCTAGAGGAGCAAGTAATGAAACGGAAACAAATGAGAGTGATTCAGATGACTCTGACTTTGATCCCGGTGCCATAATGGACTCTCATTATGATATTAGTGATGGTGATGATGATCTGTATGCTGATAATGTGGACATGAATGAGCCTGAAGACATAAAGTTGAAAGAGAAGCAGAAGCAACAAAAAAAGAAAGTGCATGTTAAAGCAAATGAGAAAGAAGCACATGAGCCAGTAGCACATGATCCTGGAGATGAGTTGTATGAGTCAGAAAGAGATGATCTATGGGCCCCTGATTCAGATAATGAAGAAATTTACATGAAGTTCAAGGCATTTAGAGCTGAGGACCTGCACTGCCCCAAATTTCATGTTGGGCAAGTTTTCCAGACAGTTGAGTTACTCAGGAAAGCAATCAAGGAATACAGTTGCAAGAATAGAGTTGATGTGAAGCTCCCTGTAAATGATAAGAAAAGGGTGAAGGCAACTTGTGATGAGGATTGTACTTGGTACCTTTGGGCCTCTTATGATAGTAGGACAAAGTGTTTCATGGTGAAGAAATATATGCATGAACACACATGTACCAAGAAGCGGAAGATCAAGGCTTTCACTGCTCCTTTCTTAGCACAGAAGTACCTTGAGAGCTTTAGGGCAAACCAAGATATGAATCTGAGGAACTTTTCAAGAGTTGTTCAGAAGGAATGGCATATGAAACCATCTAGGATCAAGTTGCAAAGAGCTAGAAGGCTAGCAATGAAGATTATATATGGTGATGAAGAGGCCCAGTACAATATGCTGTGGGACTATGGAAATGAACTTAGGATAAGTAACCTAGGCAACTCTTTTTTTCTTCAACTTGATGATCAAGCAAGGTTCACCGAAGCTTATATGTGCATGGACGCTTGCAAAAGAGGTTTCCTTCAGGGATGTAGGCCAATGATATTCATTGATGGATGTCATATTAAGACAAGGTATAGAGGACATCTGCTAACTGTTGTGGGAATTGACTCAAATGATTGTATTTTCCCTATTGCTATTGTTGTGGTTGAAGTGGAGGACAAGCCCAACTGGTGTTGGTTCCTTGAGAGGCTTAAGAATGATCTAGGCATCATCAACACTGACCCATGGACTATTATGTCTGATAAACAAAAGGTAAATGATGTTGATCTTCATAACTTGCTCTTATGATCCCTTCTTTCATTCAGTTCAGCACCATATGAAGTACTTGTTACTTATTTTGCAGGGCCTAATAAATGTAGTGGATGAGTTGTTTCCACAGTTAGAACATAGGTTCTGTGTGAGGCACATGTGGCAAAACTTCCAACAGCAATTCAAAGGTGATGTACTGAAGAACCAACTTTGGAACATTGCAAGAAGCAACACTACTGTGAAGTATGAGCAGTACATGAATGAGATGAAGGAAATTAACTTGGATGCCTACAAATGGTTGCATGAGCTTGAACCTAACACTTGGGTTAGGCTTTTCAAAGTGATCTACCCAAGTGTGATATCTTACTGAACAACAATTGTGAAGTATTTGACAAGTAAGAACCAACTGCATTGATCACTACCAAAAAAAGACACATCGTGACATTTTGGGCCGAACGGAAAAAAATTCTATCATACATATGACACTTCTATGACGATAATTGTGACAAAACCCGGTATCATCATAGATGTGGTGGGCTCCTACTTCTATGACAAAAAATCATGACAGAAAATGGGCTTTTCGTCCTGGGCGGGCCGGAGACGCAGCTGCATGACATTCTTTGGGCCGTCCATGATGGAAAAAACCGTGGTAGAAGCGAGGGGGAGGAAAATTTCGGGGAGTTGCCGGTTACGGTGGGAGGTCGGGGGCCGAGCGATGCGCGTTTCTCTCATACACGTACGCGTGTGTGTGCGAGGCGTTGGCTCTAACTGAACCCGAGCGAGGCATTGGGCTCTAACTGAACCCGAGCGATTGCACTGCAGGCTATGCGTTACTGAACCCGAGCTATCGATCGATGGCTGTTAACTGAACCCGATCGAGCGATTCCTTCGCTACTGCTGCTAACTGGAGCTGGTCGATGCTGACTCTGGGATGAACAGTGAGCATTGCAAGGGGGGTGGATGAACAGTGAGCGGTGGCGTTGCCTCTGGATGAACAGGACCCCGTGGTGTGGAGGGCTGGATGAACAGTAGATGGTGGAGGGGTGCCCGTGGAGGGGTGGTTGAACAGAACCCCGTGGTGTGGAGGGCTGGATGAACAGTAGATGGTAGAGGGGTGGTTGAACAGTAGCCGGTGGAGTAGCGTGCTACGTCTTGTGCTAGCGTTGGTTTTCCCCGAAGAGGAGAGGGTGATGCAGCAAAGTGTAGCATAAGTATTTCCCTCAGTTTTGAGAACCAAGGTATCAATCCAGTAGGAGGCTCCTCAAAAGTCCCACGCACCTACACAAACAAACTGAGAACTCGCAACCAACGCAATAAAGGGGTTGTCAATCCCTTCAGGTCACTTACGAAAGTGAGATCTGATAGAGAGATAATAATATTTTGGTATTTTGTGATATAGATGCAGAAAAGTAAAGATGCAAATAAAAGTAGATTGAAAGCAAATATGATAAGAGATAGACCCGGGGGCCATAGGTTTCACTAGAGGCTTCTCTCGAGAGCATAAGTTACGGTGGATGAACAAATTACTGTCGAGCAATTGATAGAAAAGCGAATAATTATGACGTTATCTGGGCATGATCATGTATATAGGCATCACATCCATAACAAGTAGACCGACTCCTGCCTGCATCTACTACTATTACTCCACACATCGACCGACTCCTGCCTGCATCTAGAGTATTAAGTTCATAAGAACAGAGTAACGCCTTAAGCAAGATGACATGATGTAGAGGGATAAACACATGCAATATGATATAAACCCCATCTTGTTATCCTCGATGGCAACAATACAATACGTGTCTTGCAACCCTTTCTGTCACTAGGTAAGATCACCGCAAGATTGAACCCAAAGCTAAGCACTTCTCCCATGGCAAGAAAGATCAATCTAGTAGGCCAAACCAAACTGATAATTCGAAGAGACTTGCAAAGATAACTTAATCATACATAAAAGAATTCAGAGAAGATTCCGATATTATTCATAGA